CGGACCGTTTCTAAAGTCATCGTGAGCGTCGTCTCCTCTCCGAGAGTCCGCCGATCTCGCACAACAATGCGCACCGACGACATCGTTTCTCGCGGGTCTCGAGAGGATTCGACTTCCTCGTTTCGAGATTCGCGCGTCCGGGAGTAATCGTCGGGTAGACGGCGAGTGCTTGGCTCTCCCTCGATTTTGCAATTTGCCGCGAACATCAGCTCTTTTGAGTATTTTCTCCGTGAGAAAACACGAGAAGAGGTGACCGCGGAAATATGCAATTTGTCAAGCTACGAAGTTGTCTTTTCAGAGGAATGTGACATAAAATAACATTACGTAACTCTCTCTCTCTCTCTCTCTCTCTCTCTCTCTCTCTCTCAGTGCTCATTTCTTGCTGCTATCTCGACGATACGATAGTTTTACATCTAGAAGTGATGACGTTTTAATTGTCCTTACGTAAGCGGAGAGCCGTTCGCTTCTGAGAATGCAGAAATGGTTGTAAAAGGGCGTATCGTGTTTCTTGAGGAGCAATATTAATCGCAAGCACGGCGCGACGAATTAACGTGTATTTTGGAATTAAATTAATTAGTCGCCGTTACGTCACTCTGACGACATGTATATTACGATGGTTGTCGCTTCCGCGTTCAAGAACGATGAAGCGATAAAACACGTGAGAAGTATCTCAGTTAGGCGGTGCTTACGACGGCGCGATTAGTTCTCGAGGGAAGAAATGAGAAAATTATGTTTAAAGTGAAATTACGTATCTTTGCGCGGGACGTAAAATCCTGCTACGTAATCTCGACTTCATTTCACGATTCGGAAGACACATTTGTGTAATCACAGTCTGTTTTAATTCAATTTTATTTGATTCGACTTATTCTTAAAATTTAATTCGATTCACTTTAACGTGGTTGAACTTTCGGTCGTATTTAATTTAATTCGATTGGAATTTAAATTTAATTCGAGAATTAATCTTCTTTCCGAGATCGATCGGATCGGTCGACATAAACCGTAAAGAATATTACGGTGATCACACGGGGGTCACTGGACCCCGATTGGCCGATTTTTTTTTACCCCACGTCCCCCGTAGGTTAGGGGACAAACAGGTTCTTGAAAAAGTGGACCTTCACACGTGCCGTTCCCGAGACTGTTCGCGCAACTGGATCTCCGATTCTTCGATATATAATGTTGTATTATTTTCATCCTTGGTGTACCTACGCAACCTCGGGCGGGATTATGCAGATTGTTATTGAGAATATGAAAAATTGGTGAATTTATTCCTTATGACGATTACGAAGCGATATAAAAAGTTTTATGTACATAATACGTCTTGGTATTTGTGGCAATAAAAATCTTGCCACTTTAATTAATCTTCAAATATGATTATTCTCAACCGGTCGTTATTTACTAGATAATTTCATTTAATCTCTTAATTGTCAATTTAATCAAGCGCGTTGACGGCCATCTATATATACAAATGATACATTCAACCTATGTAAGGTAATATAAAAAACACAAAAAAGGACATCCTTGATTATTGTTTGCTATTATTGTGATTCGTGACTCCTCCAGCGGGGTGCCACTTTTCTCTACGGCCGGATAAAATTGGTTTCTGGATTTGAATCAGGCAGCCGACACACATTAGTATCGGACTACACGATGTAAAATAAATCGCCTCGGCGAACGTGCCGTTTGATCAGGACGCGTTATGTCCATTAAGTCTGCATTGTAAGCTGCAAGATAAAAGGAGAAACGAGCGTACGCAATGCGCGCTTCGCCGAGGAAAATTGTGTGCGGACGCGTGTATACATCGAAGACGCTAATGAGGCCCGTTTGCGCTCGCGCATGGAAAACCTCTTTCGCAAGAAGATTTACACAACCAGACTCGATAATAACCGAATCCGTGGCGTGCGAGAGAGAGAGAGAGAGAGAGAGAGAGAGAGAGAGAGAGAGAGAGAGAGAGAGAGAAAGAGAGAGCGTCGCGAGAGCGGAAAAATCGCGATGCACGTTGTCGCTCGCCGGGGTATCGGAACAACCCCGAGAAAAAATCGCGAGATTGATGCAAGAGAGACGAGCGGGCGATGAGAGCTCGATGGTGACGCAACGCCCGCAACGGGAGTTTTGTAATGCCGATGAAAAAGGGATCGCGCGTCGAGCGGATGACGGCCGCTCGACGATCCTGTCGGTTGTATCAACGCTAACGTGTGCAAGACAGCGACGGTGCAGGAACGATTGCGACACTTTCTCAATTTGACGAGTTACGAAAGAGGTGCAAATCGTACGATCGTTCTCACGATTTTCGTCTGTCTCAAAACGCTCATCGCCAAGAAATCGCCTTTCGCAACCTTTCGCGGACGCGATCCGCCCGAAATCAAAATCGCGATGTTACCCAGACCCTGACGGCCGATCTTATCTTCGGCCCGCACAATTTCGCTCGTTTTCCCACCTCGCGCCCCCCGGGGCCCTTTCCACGGCCCTTTCTCGCCCGCCGGGCTCGATCATCGCGCGCGCTCAAATATTAGCCGGCGCTCTCATAACCCATCAACCTCTATTCCCAACGCCGAGCTATTAACTTTCAATCTGGACACTCCATTTCACACGCGGTACACATTTATAAGCGCGCGCCGTCGTACGCGGCGCGACACGTTATTATATATACGGCGTCGGGATAACTTCTACGCTTCCAGCTAATTGGCGGCTGCGCGCGAGAGAAATGATACGGGGCTGTCACGGGGGATCGTTTCCAGCGTGAAAGATAAATCAAACGAGAGCCGATACATGACACATGGTCATTTTCCCCGCGGCTTTACCTCGTCCTCTCACGGCGAACCGCGGAATTCGGCTCCACCAGGTACCAGGTCAAGGTTTCCGATCTGAGAGGATTCGACGAGAACGAGAGAGAGAGAGAGAGAGAGAGAGAGAGAAAGGGGAAGAGAGATCTCCTCTCTCTCACCCCGCACGCTTCGTCGTCGGATGTGTCGAGAATGAATATTTATGCGATTATTATTATAATGCGGGAACGCGCCACTCACCTTCGTCAAGTTCCGCCTCGCCGTGCGCGAGCGCGAGCGTGAAAACCCGTTTATTGTTCTTGTAATATATTGACATAAGTGGAAAAAGGAGCGTGTTAATGTACGACGCGACCGATGAATATGGATGGCGCGCAGTAGCTAAATTATACATTTGGCAGCCTCGTGAATCTCACCGTCGAATGCGAACTTGCGCCGGTTGTTTAGCGTAAACCTGCCGCGATACGAGTCGGATAGTGCCTGCGAAGATTTGATTCGGTATTGGGGAGAAAAAGTGATCTCTCCCGGTCGTCGTGAAAGCCCCGGGGTTTTCATGAGAGACGGGGGGAGAGGGAAAGGGAGAGAGAAAGAAAGGAAGAGAAAGAGACTGGCCGGCGCGGCGGGTTGAATTCGGGTGCAAATTGAATTACGAGATCAGAAAACGCGAGCTCTCGTCTTTTCACCGAAGCGTCTTTCACGAGCGTGCAAAATAGCGTCCACTTTCCGGCGACCGGAACGATTCGGAAGGGTCGTTTTTGCCGGCCGGCCGATCTCCTTAGAAAGTGGTTCGCCCGCGCCGGCGAACGGTAGTCATTAGCAAAAGCATCACGAAGCGCTGCGCCGCGCCGCGCCGCGCCACGCCGGCGCGTTTACGTGACGCGCCAAATCAATCTGGCGGTCATAATCCCGGCCGGCTTCGCTTCAAATCGAATCGGACGGGTTCGGCGGTAAATCCGCGCGGAATGTAGCTCATTGAAATGTTACGCGAGTGAAAGTCGCGCCGCGTCTCGATAGCGATGCGCGCGGAGGAGAATGATTCCGGTACACTAGTACAATACGCGCGATCTCGCGGACTCGGTTTCCCCGATGCGGTCCGCGAATGCGAGCGAGATTCGAAAAGTCGTGGCGAGCCGCATAATGGCTAATCGCCGCGGCAGGAATCGTGTAGAAAAATCCTCACGATCAGGACTCGCCTTGCAGATTCAGCACGTGCGTGCATCATAAAAGCCTTGTAACCCCGTAACCTCGAACCGCTGAACACTCGGTGGTGTTGGCAAATGTTCAGCGTTCCCGTTTTCCATGGGATCGTTGACTTTCCTACGCAAATTCTGTGCAACGCTATCCCGAGCTACGATACGTCGCTCGGTGTCGTGCGCCCTGATTTTTACGTAATCGTCGTCCGCGCGACGGTTTCACGGGCGCTCCCGGCGAATTGGTTGAACTCGTTGAACTCGCAGCGCTCCTCTTCAGCGGGTCCTTCGACCCCGAGATGGAGTCACGATTCGCAAACATCGAAAGTGGAAAGTAAAAAGTGTCATGGTCGGTTTTCCCGTAATTAGAAACAAGCGAAACTCGAGGAAAGGTGAAGCTCGACAAGTCGTTTAATACTCCGCGTAATTACACCGTGTGGACTGCATAAAAAGTAGTACGAAGTCTTACTATTGTCGAAGTGTGGGAGCTCTTTTGTCCAGCGCTGGATTGGAAACGCGAACACGTTCTTCTTTCTGCATACTTTTCGCGAAATAATCTACGTCGTCGTTGAGGCCACTGATTCACAGACGCGTCGTCGCGTGATTATTAATTCAAACGCGATCGATCCCGCTCAATCGCGCCAAATCTCGACTCGTCACATTGATATTAATTCCTCGATGAAATTAATGATTGTCGATATCGACAATTTGTTTCAATTAATCAAATAAATTTGGTTCGATTATAACGAGCTGTAGCAGCAATGTCTCTCAAGTCGATTCTTCAGATTTAGACTTCTTTCTTAGGTTTCTTAGATTTCTTTCCTTCTTTCTTCTTTCTTAGATTTAGATTTCTATAGATTTTCTTTAGACGAAGAAACGGCGTATTCGCACGGAGAACGATTTCGGGACTCGTCGCGAGCTCTTCGAACGTTTCGTCGGCGGGCAGATGAAAAATTCAGGCGGTTACGTCGCGTCTTGCGAAATTCGATTATGACAGACGCCACACACACATGCTTTTCCTTTCTGTTTCAAGGTCTGGCAGTATGAGAGCTATCTGCTTGCTCCTGCTCGGCGTCGCCGCCGTGAGTGCCCAGCGTCGTTTAGCCTTGCCCGATCCGCGAAGCTGCGCGAACCGTAAGTATATTTTCAGCGACATTTCGTAATCGCGCACTAAGTGTCGGACGCACGGCTAACTGGGTGGAAAATAACGGGAAACCGACGACGAGAGAAGAACGGAGAGAAAGAGAGGACGCGACTACACATGTGGGACTATTCTTCATATTCATTAGCATTATATATGCGTTCGTGTTGGCTCGCCGTAGCTTCGTGCAAATTAGCTCGCGCTGGTCGTCGAACGTTTGCACGCTCCATCGACTATCTTTCAGGACGCAGGATATCGCAGGAGTTAACGGCACCTGTTACTCGGTTGATACGAAGGATGCAGAGTCGCGCAGGGCGTGCGCGACTCAATCGCTCCGGATTGAAAAACCGAGTCGTTCACGATTCTGCGTTTGCACGAGCGTGCGATTGCGGTCACCTTTTTTATCATTTTCATTTTTCACTTGTTCTCGAGGAAAATATGCCAGGAGCTCGCCGCGTTCGGCTCTTCAGCTTAGCGTTTCAGCAACAAACGAGAGATTCGTATCTCTTTCTCCGTGTTTCTCTCCTTGTAAATTACAATAGACTTGTGTGGATTTATGAGCGTGTCATAGCATAACCAAGTCCTCCTCCGTCAGCCGGTAATAGGATATGACTACGATTAATGATATTATCAATGACGCATTTGACGTGTTTATTACTCAGGTGTTCGTCACGCGTCGTACCGGGATGGCAGGGGAGTCGGTCACTCATACTTCTTCAGCTGGGAGCATCAGCCGACCAGAAGTCTCGAGGTTGACTGGCTGGATGCTCGCAACATCTGCCGTCGTCACTGCATGGACGCCGTGTCCCTGGAGACCCCGCAGGAGAACGAATTCGTCAAGCAGAGACTAGCGAGAGGTGAGCTGTCGGCGATAAACACGGATTCGCGATTAGCCGTCGATTCCCTACGCTTTTCTCGTGTTGCGATTCGGCGAAGGCTGATTCTCGCTCGGCAGACTCGGGACATTTGTCAGGACTCTGACAAATGGCGAATTTGCCAATTCGCCGATGATCCGCGACCTCGTCGTCTCTCGAGAGTCTTGTTCTGGAGGCGACGTTTAGCGTCGAGCCATTTGCATCTGAAGCGGACACATTTGTTCACTCGGGGCCGGATTATTGTCACACATCCGCACGTAGCTGAGGCTAGTTCGACGTAGGAATTCGTGCCAGCTTGTTTCGCCGGGCTACTCCAAGAATTTTTCTCCTAGCGAAACATGTCCAGTGATCGATACTGTTGTCTTCCAGGAAGAGAGCCATCGCCTACGGGCGAGTCGCACGGGCGCAAAGTGCAGCCCGTGCGAAGCGCGCAGCTGAGAAGTAAAGGCTGATTCTCCTCGGTCGATTTCCAGGCACAAAGTTGCACAACGTTGTTGCGATTAAGTTCCACGGGGGTAGCGCCGATCGTCGATTCGCGTGACGCAATTTCTCGCCGCGCGACAGCTCGTCATTTCTCTGTGTCGGCTTTTTACGACCCCACCTGACCCTCCCGCTGCTGCGATCAGCGAGGAATCTCAGTTGCAATTTAGGTTCGCGGGTGACTAGGTGCTCGCGCGTATGCCTCTATGTAAGCCGAAGCGGGTCACTTTCACTTGACCGTTGATGCCCCCCGTGAGGAAAAACAGCCGGCGTGAAAGGAACTAGGCGTACTTTGGACTTAAGGATTTATCTTGCGACTGATAATGAGATGTTTGCTGCCATGATGAAGTGCGCGTCACGTCGGTCAGCTACGACGTCCATCGGCTTCGGCTGCTTTTTCGTTACGTGCTGAACTTGAGACTCCAAGGTGCATCGAAATGTCCGGGCGTGCGTTTCGCGACAGAGAAGTTCAAGCGAACTCATGAACGTCCGCGCGAGTTTAAGACTCCACCTTAAGGCTCTTCTCTTTCTATTCTCGCAGGCTCAGAGGTGACACTCGTGCGAAGTTAGTTATTTCTGGCGAATTGGTCATTATTGGGCGTGGCGTCTGATAATTATTGATAATTAATTCGCAACTTGCGGCAAAGAACACGGCTCGGTTCGGATGCGACTCGTTTAATTATTCGACCGAGTATTCGAGAATCGAAAGCCGGGAGTCCGCTGGGAAGTCGCAGATTCGAAGCGCAATAAGGAAATGTCGGGCGAAATTTAATTCGCGGCGTCTGAATAGGCAGAATGAAACTGCGAGCGAGCGAGCTCGATGACTTCGAAAAGTTCCGCATCTCGTCGCCGTCTATCTTAATTAGTTCGCACGGAGCTGACGTTCGGGCGTCGCGTCCAAACTTCAAGCGACGTTACCTAGATTCTCTGAATTCGCTTTTTGTTCGCAAGCATCTTTCTTTGACTCATCCGTGAAACGCCTGTAAGTTTAGCCGGAGGAGGAAACGCTCGAGGATTCGCGGAATCGCGACGACGTCGTTCCGTATTAAAACAGACTGTAAGAGCGAACCTGTCGCGAGTCACTCGTGCGTCACGTATTATTATCCGCGGAGATCCGCCGGTGCGGAGTAATTTTTTCCTGATGATAATGATATCGTTGAGGATATGGCATTTTATACGAGGTTTAGGTTGTCGCTCGGCTAACAACACGCTATTCGATTAAGACGTCTCGCCGCATCATTAAGGGAATGACAGTTGTTAAGCGTTGCGCTGCTCGATCCTCGTTTGACGGATGTTCACGGATATCTGTCATTTTACATTTCGGCTAATTCTATAGGCGAGAGAAAGATTCCCTCATTGCGGTCGCACGGTGACACGGACGTCCGGGTGTAAGCTGGCCGGGCCTCGCGAGCTATTATCTAGAGGCTGATATAAGTCGTTGAGCGTGCAATTTATCGTCGCCATTCGCACGCAAAGACAATTCAAGATTCGACGCTTTCCCCCGCGGGTTCGCTCGTACTTTTCACCAATAAATCGTATCAAGTTCCGTTATATGCGAGGAGAGCCTTCGGAGCCACATCGACATCTCATGTTGGTCGGTTTCATCAGGAAACGTGAGATACATCTGGACGTCCGGCCGCAAATGCAACTTCAACGGCTGCGACCGACCCGATCTCCAGCCCCAGAACATCAACGGATGGTTCTGGTCCGGTTCTGGCGTCAAGATCGGACCGACGAGCCAGCGTAACTCCGGAGACTGGAGCAACACCGGAGGATACGGCCAGCCACAGCCGGACAATCGCGAGGCTGGGCAGGTACGGCTTTGACATAATTTTTTAGTTCTCAACGTCTGAGAGCAAAATTGGAGCAAGACTCACTCGCTGAAGAAAATTCTGCCTTCTCGCCTTATCATGAGCTCTCGCTTGTAAAGATTTTGTGCTTTTACACACGACGATGAGTTAAACTGATATATAATTAATCCGTGTGGGCAAATACTGTGAAACTATTCCACAAATTTTTGAAGAGAATCGTTTGATCGTTCCCTAAATTTCGACCGTGTTTTCTAGGGTAAACAGAATTATTCTGATTGGGGAACTTTCTGGACAGCTTTATAATACCTGATACGAAATTGAGATAAAATTAATTATTTCTTGTAAAATCAGAAATGTTTGCGTGTGTTTCTGCCGATTTGGAGAAAATGAGAAATGACAAAACACGAGAACGCGACGACGACAATGTTATAATGAAAATATCTTAGATACGATAAATTGCATAAATTCAGGAATGAAGGAAATATCGAGAGACCCTCGCGTTAAAAGCGGGCCAAACGGCTCTAACACGCTTTCCTTTGGCGTTGACCCCGTGAAACTCTGGTTTATATTCTCATGGGGTAAAGTGAAAGTACTTTGGCATCTTTAGATTTATAGTCGCTTTTATTGGTGACCTTTTGCATCGGTAATTTTTATCATAGCGCGTCTCGCTCTCTACGAGACGGATTCGATATAGAAACACACACACACTGCGTGACGATTTTGGAAGAGGTGTAGTTGAAAGACTACTTTGGTCATTTTTATATGTCTTTCGAAGACAGGTAATTTTCCAACTTCATACTAATTGTACAATCGAAAATTAACAGTACTATCTCCTAGTCTAGGATGGAATTGAGAAAAAAAAAGAATTAATTTCCTCTTTCTTTTGCAGGGTAATGACGAATCCTGCCTGTCCATTTTGAACAATTTCTACAATGATGGCATCAAGTGGCACGACGTAGCGTGTCATCACGTGAAGCCTTTCGTATGCGAGGACAGCGATGAGCTCCTCAACTTCGTCGCGTCCCGAAATCCAGGGATCCGTTTGTGAAAGGCGATCACGGCGGACACTCGGGCAAGCAGACTATCGTCGTGCCTCGAAGGAAGAAGCGCGAGGAACGGAGACGCAACGGTGTTACACGAGCGGCACCGTGCACTCGTCTCTGTCTCTCTACTCTTTCTCTCTGTCGCACATTTATTTATAATTACACACTAACCGATCTATCTCTTTCTTTTTAACTGACGCGATTGTAGTGCTACGCGATTTACCGCAAGCGGAACGATTGGTAGTTCGAAGTAGGTGGTAATGCATTTAGTATTATATACACGTAATTCTTGTAATTTTTGTATCCTTTTCGTACGAGAATAAATGCATTGTCTCATTTGTACCGGAGAGTGTACCGTTATTTCTTAAGTTTAATTCCCGAGAAATCCTTCATCTCCAATTATTCACGACATAAAACTAACTCGAGATAGTTCTTGAGACGTCTCTAAGAAAAGATCGACAAATAAATACTAGCTCGGTATGTCGCTAGGACGAAAATAAAAATACTAAATTAATAACAATAGATATTATGTTAGGGTCTATAATGCGATATTTAAGTATCAAAGGATACAAAGAGGATTCTCTAATAACTTTCAAAGGATCTGTGAGTAGATTTTGTGAATAGAAAGTTCATAAATTTGGATGGAAAGAATAAGAAATAAATTTCGATGCACTTTAGTATGAATTTGTAATAAAAAAAATTTGCATCAACAACTTTGCAAATTAATATTCTGATAACTGTGTTTCAATATAAAATCGATTTGTTTTTTTTTATAAATTTATGCATGTATCATCTTATACCTACATATGAACATGGATATACCGACGAGATATTCATAATGACTGTTGGCACCAACGAAACACTGATAAAGACTGCTCGTTTTACGAGATTAAAGTACCAGGGAAATCTCCCCGAGCGCTAACGCCCACTTAGGAATATCGTGGCTGGAATATGAAGCTGCAGCTCGAAATAAGCGTAAATGGTAATAGATATGGAATAATAGGGAAAAGATATCGGAAAGTATCAACATTGACGAAGTAATGCTAATGGGCCTTTTACAATAAGCTATTAGTCATAAGTTGTAACCAAATTGACCAACCACAATCGATTATTTTTGAAATAATTAATTGTGACTGGTCAATTTGCTTATAGCTTATGACTAATTGTTTATTGTAGAAGGCCTCCAAAGATTATTAATGTCTCGTCGGTGCTGATCTTTAGCATTACATCGTCAGTGATGGTTATAATATGATGTTATTAAGAGGAGGAGTATTAGTTTAGTTATCTACCTCACAAGATGGCACTCAAAAGCTTATCTTCGTAAAGATCCATTGATAGAATTTTCCATCTTAAAGAATTTCCCTTTATCTATTTTTCTGTGTTTATGATATCAACAACAAGAATGAGGAAGAGCTTTTGTTCGCTTCCGTGGTGGTTGGATGTGGTTTCTGTAATTACGCATATTTTTTGATCGTGGTGACTGCGTACGCGTTGTCCCTGTTTTTCTTTTATCTTCATAATCGTTGACTGGCATAGGGGATAGAGTGTAACAGCTCTGCCCAGAGCCATTTATTGAAGACCAGAACCAGAACCAGAACAACAGGAATGAGTTTCTTCATATTAAACGTTCCATCTTCATACTATTGGAAAATGGCGTATGGACAAAGCTGAATGTAGTCTGGAAACATATATTGAACTGAACTGAACTGATATTAAACTGATATTAAACGTTCTATTTTTTTTGTAAAACATACATTATTTAAGGTAATTATTTAGAAGACGGATATCACCTTGGATTTCGCTCAAACTCACCTATCTTGTGTGTTTTGACGTGTAGAAGCCGAATCTGAAAGTTAAAATCGGCGCTCGACTCTACTTTGCGAAAAATAAATTGTTAAAAAATGACACGCGAAGTTAGGAAATCTGTCGTGCCGGTAATACAGAGACTTATGGTCTGTTCCTTTTAGTCGGACAGTGTAAGATAGTATATGTAAGCGGCAGAGGGGCGGAGCCCTTCCCCCACACTTCCATCTCAAATAAATTCTAACCTAACTCAACTTATTGCATCTTTATATATATATATATATTGTTGGACATTGTTGAAAAGATTATAATTATTAAAATCTACGCTCAACAATATATAATAAAGATGCAATAAGTTTGATTAGGTTAGGATTTCTTTGGGAAGGGATGTAGGGAGAGGGCGAGTCCCTCCCCCACTTATGTGTACTCTCTTACACTTTAACGCATTGCGCATGCTTTTCAGTGAGTCTGTATTATCGGCATGACAGATTTCCTAACCTTAAGCGTGTTATTTTTCAAATTTTTGTAACTTTTGATCCGTTTGAGAGCGACACTTTTTTCTTACAAAATCGCGTTCTATGCACCAAAATACACAACTGTGCAAAGTTTGAGTGAAATCCAAGGTGATGTCCGTCTTCTAAATAATTACCTTTCTTTCTAAGCAAGAGTTGTTGAAGAGAGTTGTTCGAAAAAAGTAAAATTAATCGATTAATATTGTAGTTTGAGTCTTCTGAGTTAAACTATATTTTAGCTTTTGATATTTCATAATTTGTTGATAATCTTGAGAATAATTTATGTCACTTGATTTAGTTTACTATAAGATCTAAGAAGATACTCTTCAAAAAATATTTTGAAAATAGTTATGCGATCTTGTAAATATAAGCATATGAACTTAATTAATAATAATACATAATTTATATGAAACAAATATATAATAAGTCATTAGCTTATATAAGGTATATCTGTAGAAAATAAAAAAAAATAAATAATTTGTCAATGAAATAGTTCTAATTTAATAAAAACTCAAATAGAAAAAGACAGAATCTTTTGCAATAGAATTCATGACTGTTTCAGATATATTTACCTCTCTGTATTAACTTTTGGATGTATAAAACACAATGACTGAAGAAAGTAGTCAGATGAAGGAATCCAAGCAAGGTAATGTTTATAGATATGTTTAATAATTTATAGTAATGTAATATATTAACTAAAAATAGTTCCAATCAAATTTATATTATTTATTTTTAGATGATATTCCTGCTACTGCTAGAGCAATTAAAATAACAAATATACAAAATCCATATATTATGAGAGCTTATGATATTGTACAAAGGGAGAAGAAAATCAACAAAATTGACGCACAACTATGTGCTTTTACTAAAAAACAGACTTTATCTATGAAGAACAATACAGAACATCTCAATGTTGATGATGTAAGATTACTAGATATCATATTTCAGTTATATAGAATAGGCTATCAGTTTTGTCCATTTAATTTCTATTGTTATAAACAATAAGAAAAAATTGAAGCTAGTGTTAAAAAATATTTTGTATTTTATGTAGATATATTTTATTAAATATGACATCATTTGTATTTCATATTATATTTATTTTACAGATGGTTTTTATACAAAGTAGTAATCATAAAACTGGTATGGCAGAATTACCATCCTATCTTTGTCGTGGTTTAATAACTTATATTAAAAAAGAAAGTGGAATATATAATGTTCTTTTAGTAGATCATGGGATTAGTATTGAGCTAAATAGAGATGAAATTTATAAAGTTCCAAAAGATTTTATTCGTGAAGAACATTTAACAAAAACTGTTGGTATATATAATATATTGCCAATCTATATGAGGAAAAACGTTGCAAATGGATATTCTTCTTTAAATAAATGTAAAACTAAAGCAATGTAAGATTCATTAATTATAACTGTCACTTTTCTTGAAATATATGTTTTTAAACGTGGCTATTAAACATCTTTAAAGTATTGTAGAAGAATGGGGCGAAGAAGCGATTCAGTTTGCAAAGAATCTTTTGGTAGCATCTGAAGCTGTATATTTCGACCATATAGTTACAGATAAAAAGAATGGGAGAGAATATGGGGAATTTTATCTTATCATCGATGACCTTATTATATCATTAAGTGAAGCTTTAGTGGTAAATTACTATGCAACTTATTTGGAAGGAGGTATATTGATATTCATCATCTTGTAATTTAATGTTTTTACCTAAGATTTACTTGATTCATTAATATTCAAGTATTATGTAATATTTTTCAAAATATGCTTGTTATTTAGATTTATTGAAACTTATTGAATCTCCAAGTAATGCAGAAGATGAAACAAATACTGAGGAAGATATTATTATACATGCAAAGTTCTCAACAAATCGACCAAGGAATGCAGGACTTGCCAAACAAATTACAAAACATTGTACCATCAGACATGTGTAAGGATATTTTGTGTACTTTATTTTTCCTTTTATAGAAAGAATTTTATATATACTATCCCATATATTTTATTTTTTCTAGTGAAAAGATTTTAATACAAAGTAGTAAGAATTGTAGAGTTTTGGTTGATGTTACTGATCTTAGTCTTCCTAAAGGTGTACATAAGGTATATATATATATATCATATTCAATAAATTTTATATTTATATATTATAAAGATATTAATAATTTAATCTATAACAAGAAAGTGTTGTATTCTTTATGTTAAGTTCAAATGAATCAATTCTTCTTTAGTTAATATTGTTATAGAAAATATAAAATATATTTTCTGTTGTAGGGTTGGGATGAGTATATCAATTCCACAAGACCAAGAAAAATTCAATCTTATATGTGGCCAGCTATAAAGAATGGATTAAATGTTGTCGCTATTGGATCATCACAATGTGGTAAAACTGCTGGATGTGTAATGGCCATTTGCGGTCTAGTAGTTATGCATCAAAAAGTAATAAATTTAAACAAATTATTTTTCAAAACAAGAGCTAGTGAGAAATCTGACTCTTATTAGCCCTAACTTACTTGTGATGTATTTATTAAGATGATAATGTGAAAATATTACGAGATTAAATATTTTCGGTTATTATATTAAGCTTTATACATACATACACATGAATTACGACAGAAAGAAACAGAATCGTTTTTGTATTTATATGCTTTTACTGATGCACTTATAAATGTATGTTATACAATAATTTATATAATTCATGTAAAAGATATTTTGTATGTTTCAGATGACGTCATATAACGCTACCCACCCTTTAGCATTAATTTTATGCTCATCTTCCTTCGAAGTAATCAATGTTCATTCACTGTGTTCAGGATTTTTGCAATATTATGATAATATAAAATCTGTAGCGGCGTTTAATGGTAAAACGCATCGATTGGTATCGGTAAGTTTATTTAACTAAATTTTAAGATATATTTAATATTTTAGAAAGAGGACATATGTGAACAAATTTAATAACTTCTTTTTTTACAGGCGTTAATATATAATGGTTGCCAAATCTTAATAACTACACCGCGCTATTTAGCACGATTTTTGAATGATAATAACAATTTACTATCATTCGACAAACTTTCTTATCTACTTTTTGATAATGCTGATATAATTTTGGATAAGTATTATAAAACGGTAATTGAAATTTGCAAAAGAAATTGTATAAAATGTACTCACATGGAAAATTTATAAAAACATTACAATATTTCGACAGATAGGAGAACTATTCCAAAAACATAAAATAATTGAAAACCGTGACCCAGAATGTGCCAATAGACCAATGTTGCAAATAATTTTATCAGCAACGAAATGGACATCTAACATTAAGAAATTTGTATCCCTGGTGATGTACGATTCGTTCATATGCATTGCGTCATTTATAGAAGCTGTCGTCTTTAAATCTCTCCGTCCAAAGCTTTATATTCTGAAGTCAATATATAAAAATCAGAAAATATTAGGTAAGATAACATACTGCGTGTGTATTTAAGGCTTTTATGCAGATACTGAACTTCTTTTTAATTTTATGCCAGAGATATTAGGGGATGAGTATACTCTGTTGAGGACTATGGTAATATGTATAAACGCTGAAGAGGCTGAACAGTTAAATGCATGTTTAATTCCAACAAAAAATACTATATTGATTCATGAAAATATGAAATTGTTGGATATACTAGGTACAATTATTTTATAGTCACCTTAAGTGTATTTTATGTACTTAATTTTATTATTTATTAGTAATTATACTTAAATTTATCGATTTTAATTTTAATGAGAGAGAGAGAGAGAGAGAGAGAGAGAGAGAGAAAGAGAGTTCTTTCTCTTCATTCAAATTATCAATTTGTGTTTTGCAGCTTTGCGAGAAATTTGGGACACATGTATACGTGGTTTATATCCAGTATTAATATGCACCGATGCAATTCTGTCTCAGCTTAATTGTACCAATATTCAGTGGTTGATACATCATTCTGTATTGTTGACGTTTAAAAATCAGTTTAATTATAGATTCTCTGTACTTTTGGATAATCTGGCACAGGTAAAATTATTTCCCCAAATGATTATGTTCTAAGACTAATTTTTTAGTTTTTTAGCGAGTAAATTATATCGTTATATTTAATCTTTTCCTCAATATTTTCGTAGTAGAACATTGTAAGAATACTCACGTAGAACAATTATTTATTTGATACGAATATATTAATAAATTAAAAATATATATGCACATACTTAAGAGTTAAACATTTTACAAATAATATTATATTAATTTCAGGATACCACGAAATGTAAAGTTAGTATAATTATTGATGAGCATAATAACTTACAATTTCAAAGTATAATGAGAATAATGCAAAGAATGAATGTCATAATACCTTCTAATATGGAAGAAAATATCGAGGTAACTTAGCAAAATATCATTTATCGATTCATTCAATTTTTGTTGCTAATGAAAGATTGTTTTAGCGTATCGCACTTACATTAGAAAGAAGTAAGAAGAATCACGATATATGTGATAATGTAAAGTCGTTGGGCCTATGTCCGGATGAAAGTGTTTGCGTGTTCAGACACTGTATACTCTCTGATGTCGATGCGCCAATGACAAATATACAGATGTAAGTGTAATTTTCTTTCAGACAATCTTACTTTGCCTCATTATTCAGTGTCTTTTAAAATTCTATTCCGACAGAAACGATACGGTGAAATTGATGGTATTGTATATTCACGACACGACGCATTTCTCCGCGAGATTAATCGAACATATTCCACACCTGAGTAATTCAAAGAAAATACCATTTTCTAATGTGGAATACATGCAGATTACACAGAAGATTCAAGAATATTATCAAAATATCGAAAATAGGTACACATACATTGAATAATACTCCATGCTGTGTAATATAATGATCATTCCCGGCATTATTATTTATTTTCCATTCGTATCTTCATATTATAGGAAAATATGTACCTCAACAAACGTGGGTGATATTTGCGTTCTAGAGGGACCTATAGACGCATTCAAAAGAGTACAAATTAGACGCATTAGATATGATAGAGACACTTCGGAGGAAGCAAAGTTTGTAGATGTGAGGTGTATCGACACTGGCCTTGTACATGAATGTGTTGATGTAAGATTTTTATATATCGGAAGACTCACATTCAAACTTTATGTTAAGTGCTAATGTCTTGCAAATTTAGTCGTTGTATTGGACTAAAGACAATGTGAATTAAATCAATTAATTAAAGTTCAAGATAAAAATAAATTTTAATAAATTAATAAAATATAATTCGAATCTAAACGATCACGATTAAGTACAAAATATCGGATGCGAATATGAATCAAAATATATATGTTTATTTTATTCAATTTTTCGTTACTGTAAACTTGCATTTGGTATTTCAGATACGTAAATTAATTCATATTCCGACAGAATTACTCAATCTTCCAACGCATATTGTAGAAATATTTATAGCCGACGTAGTGCCATATGACGAGGAATATACTTGGAATCATTATGCTACTGATGCAGTTCATAAGTGGTTTAAAGAAAATGTCGACAGTAGATCTTATATTACTGGAAAGGTGAGTTTCTACTAAATTACGACAGAATTTAGAAGATGAAAACATGGAAACAAATTATCCGCAGGTTCGCCTTCATCTCGGGAATACAATATGGTTAGACGACATCGTAACCGGCACAAAGATACTTAATCATAAAGATCTTATAGGATTTTCTCTGAAAGATAGCCTAGAAAAAGAAAATCATGCGATTCTGAACGACAATCACATGTTACATCTATTAAAACTCTGTAAAAAAAGTGGCTTGTCAAAAATTAACGGATATCATATAGACGCCGTGTGCAAGTGAATCTTAGTTCCTCACTTTTTGATCTTTATAATATATTTGATGCACATAAATATGCTAAAAAATTTATCAATTTTGGAAGAAAATTTTTTTATACATTTATACAGAATATGAAAATATTCCAAGACGGCGATATACCTTGAAAAAAACCTCGAAAAAAGAATGTTTTATACAAAATATTTCAGATAAAAGCTGCACAGCTTAAAAAAATCTATTAACTTTATCAGTATAGCCTTGGATGATGTCACCAATGCCAGGCTAAAATTACTTTGAATTTTTTATAAATAGCATCCTCTATTCTTTGTCACGTTTTGATACTCAAGTTGATAAGACCAATGAATAGATGTTTTTTTAAGTACAACTTTTATCTGATATCTAATATTATACGTTTTCATACAAGATAAATGTGAAAAAATAAATTTATATTAATACAATATTTTTAATCTATATGTATTATTTTATTTTATGTGATCTTACAAAATTATCGAAGTGGTCTTTGCTGAACAGTATTCTGGTGATCTTTGGTGTCAAACCAGCTTCTATTAATATTTCTATCCGTTTGCGAAGAGTTTCTATCTTAAAATAGAAAATCCGTCCGTGTGTCAATATTTCGTTATGCGTAAAATTGTATTGATACAACATGTCGAGTAATTCTTTCAGCTTTAGTATATCCACTCTTGTGACTTGTGGCCATTTTACGAAAAAATCATCAATAGTTTTTTCGTTGACATTAAGCTTATACATCAAGTATCCCTTGTTATTTTGATAAAATTCCAATAACAGTTCTCTTCTCTCAGATTTTTCCTTTTTTTCTATATATCTACACAATATACAAGTACAAGATTAAGACACGAGCAACATTTTGTTTTATTTCAATTATATTCTAAGCTTTGTTCTATTATCATTCTTACGATCTTTAGGTAATTATAAATTAGTTTAATTATAAATTAGTTACGTACCGATGAAACAATTGCTCAGACAGTTTTAATGTAGAAATTTGTACAGGTATGTTTTTTTTATTCAATATCTCAATTCGCTTTTGTACGTTTTCTGTATTAAAGTGAAAGATCAATCCTCCCGTTCGTATTATATCATTACTAGTAATGCCAGTTTCATGTAGAATATTAATTAGCTTATTCAATTTCATTGGATGCACCCGTAAAACATTTGGCCATTTTGAGGTCAAAACTTTCAGCTCTTCTTCTTTGACTTTTAATTTATTTAACAAATAATCACTAATGTTATCATGATGTTGCAGTAAATCGCGTGTTACATAATTTTTGTGAATAGCTCTATAAATAAATATGTATATGTATGAATTAATCATTATTCTATATATAAAGCCTAATTTGGGCTACAAATGAAAAAGGAAAGATTTTTCATGTAAAAAGCAATAATAAATAAGAAATAAAATTTTTATACCAAGCTTTGTTTAAAAAAAAAATTAGTTTTGAAAATTTGATAGTACATGCTTATCTATATGGATATTGTATATAGAGGTATCTATATAGTATCACTAAAATATATTTATAAGGTTTTCATTAATTTATAATTGAATTACATATATTTAAAAAGATTACTTCCCTAGTATACAAATTACTATTTAGATAAGACATATTTAACTTATCACATCAATGATTAAAAGAATAAGAACTTTATTAATAGATTTTTAATGTTTTATTTTGAAATACTTGATTATTTATAGATATTCCTAATTCCTTTTGGTTTGGATTGTGTTCATTAAAGAATAAGAAATATAGTAAAATAGATAGAGAGATAATAAAGAAATATAGTAAAATAGATAGAGAGATAATAAAGAAATATAGTAAAATAGATAGAGAGATAATAAAGAAATATAGTAAAATAGATAAAGAGAAAAAAAACAAAATAGAAAAAAATTAAGATACTATTTCATATTTAAGCTTTAGGGCTCACCTTTTTACAACTCTAAGTGGACATCTTATAGCCCATGTTTTTATATCTAAATTTCCTGTATCTTTATATAATTCACATCTGTGGCGTATGTGATTCTCACTATATCGAAGTACCCATAAATCCTTTAATATATTTTTATTGCTTATATTATATTCTAAAAAAGGAAAAAAAGTTAATTCAAATTATTTTTTATCACCAGTGTTTCATGCTATGTTACCTAGTTTAATATTTTTCTTACCATATAATACATTTAATTTTTTGTCTATGTAAGAAACAGGAATTCTTAATAAGAATGAACATCGCACTGTTAATTTACATAATTCTTCTATACCACACTGTAACAAAATATAATCTTATGATATACATATACATATAACATATCTTATAATATATATGACATATAACCATAAATTAGTATCTATACTAGAATTAATGAAACTTTCTGCAATCTTATATTCTACATATCTGCTTTTGATAAGAAAAAATGATCTCACTCTATATCTCTCTTAACATATGTTTATAGGAACAAGATATCATATGAAAATGTTTATTGCATTATATTGGATCTGTTCTTACCTCTAATTTATAAGCAAGATATTCAATCTTATTATATCCATAAGGTACTGAGTCGGTTTGAACATAGTTTATATTATTTACTAGTTCATCCTGAGTGAGCCGTAACAATGGTAAAAGTTCTTCATTGTTCATTTTAAGAGTGCTAATACAATCGAGTTTCTCTTTGAGTTTAGTAACATCATGAGCCAATAACCAAATATTCTTTGTAATAACATTTTTCTGTACACCAGCTTCTAACAGATTGTAATAATTGTTCAGAACATTTGCTCTGGATTTTTTCTTAAGTTGCGGATAAGCTGTTATAATTTTGTTAGTTTCGTACGTTGATGTATTCAATATCTCTTTGAGAGTTTGTATCATAACTTGTACGATGGGTTTGTAATTTATTCGATAATCATTGTAACTTGATATCTCACAGGTATGATCCAATATTTCAATGTCTTTGTGCGTTAGCCGTTTCTGGCAGACAAATGTGTTGAGAAAGGAACATCTTTCCGATAGTACAGATTTTTGGTGTTGCAGTGGAGCTTTCAACAAATATGACATAAATACACGTTGTACCAAATGTCTAACCATCGTTCGCTGTTATTATTTAAGATATATCTGCGACATGTAATTTTCATGAACAACACGGAGATGGCAATAAATTAGCAAGATTTCTTATCAAATTAAGAAGTTTTCATTTTCCATTCATTCAATATATGGCTCTGAGTAGAATTATTACACTCCTTCTCTCACTCCAATCGCAGCGATTTTGGAAATAAAAGAGAAACAGGGACAACACATACGCAGTCCCCAAGATCAAAAATATGCGTAGTTACGGGAACCACATTCAACCGCCGCGGAGACGAATAAAAAATTAAGAAGTTATTAACTGTGGCTTATAGATACCTAAAATATAAGATATTTTACGTCAATCAAAATCACACTGATTACTTGAGGTTAGTTTCTAAATATTTCTAACTATATTCAAATGCGATGTACTGCTGATGAACTACTTTTCTTGAGCATGCGTATTAAATGGAATCGCACAGAATCGTATGCGTGCTTCCATCTACAAAGTTATCATGTAACAAAATATTGTAATACAATCAGTTACCGACGATGATGTAATAGAAAACTATCTTATCTCTTTAGTATGGTATGTAATTTCGAGCAATGCTCAGCAGATGACTGAAAAATCAGATTCTTCTTGGAAATTACCGATCGTGTGTAATAGAGTTTTGGACACAGTTTAAAAGCGCCTGCATTGCTAAGTAATATATTGTGCAAAAAGATATTTTCTTTTTATAAAAGTAGATCTGTGCGTGTAAAGTTCTTTTCTGCTTTAGAACGTAAGTGCATTAATGTGAGTTGATTGGAGGCTTGGAAGGCAAGCACATCAGTAAGAAGAACAAAAATTTTGCAAAGAATTAGGTTTGCACAGATGCAAATAGATTAAATAGGGTCAAAGTTTTATTTTTTGTTATAGAATCCGTGGAATCGAATAGAATTTCTTATTGATCAACAATCAAGACGTAATTAATATCGGCGACACTCCAAGCGTTCATTAAAATAATGTAAAAATCCTAACCTATTTTGTCTTCTTACAGCAATGTGGTCTTCGTATGTGTCTTCGTCATTTGTTTTGGCCGACACAGTTATCGTTGCCTGATCCACTAGTATCAAATGTAACGTCAAGAAATGAATGGATGTTTCTTCATATTCATAGTCATAATTACAAGCAGCAAAATATATGAGCAAAGACAGAATTTCGAATTCATAGTCTGTGAGTACTTTCTTCTTTCAAGAACAAGTAATTTTGCACATCCTCCTCGATCGTTCTCATTCTTCTTTTTTTTCTCATTTTCGACTTGTCTTAATTTATTTATGTCTTTACGGGCAGAAACGCGATTGGTGAGAAGGGTTGCGAATCTTACGCAAATTATATTACGTGCTCACCGGCTTGGCACCGGCTCAGCTGAGCAACTGTAATGCCGATAAGCCGATGTCAAACAGCGTGTCATGGTCGTGTGCACAGGCGTTTCAACGGATCCTTTCTCCTTGGCTGTTGCCAGTCGGAAAACGGCGGCGCCGCGTGTCGCTTCAAAAGTTCCATGACCGGCGTTGAGGTGCGGGAGCATGCGAACGGGAAAACCTATGGTGAAAACGTGTGAAGTTGCGAGTTTGTGAAATTGACGGCAAACTGCCGAGGTCGTCATACTGTAGGACGCCTCTCGTGGAACGACGATGATAATATCGCTTCACACGCTTCGGGAAGAATTAACGTCGCCGAAGGCACTCGATACATGGAGCGGCGTCTCCATTTTGGACTTCCCGTAGAGCTTACGTGGTTATTTTGTTATAAGTTTAACGTTATTCGTCTGTGCGGAGAAAGTGGTGCGAATTTCCCGGGTTGCCCGAAACTTGTTTGTTGCTCGAGGAAAAAGTGGAATTAAGTGGTACTCAGACGCAAGAAACGAAGTAGAAAATCGAAATAGAATCTTTAATTCTTTCCTTCTTTCTATTATTCTTTTGTTATTTTAGCGATTTAATCGAAAATAGAATATTTTTTAGCTCCGCTAGATTGTGCAGTAGAGTAATTGGAGCGAGAGAAGAGTTTCTCTTTTTCTCTCGGGTTTTAATTTAAACGATGTAAACACACGAATGTCGAGTGTAAAATAGACAGAAGGAAGATAAAAGTGTATAAATAGCAGCAAAAATGATACACGGCAATACGACATTTTTTCTTTTTTTTTTAATTGACGATGCATCTCAGGCCTCGTGAACAAATGCACATGTGCGACAGCCAACTATCAATTAATTCTGCACGCACGAAGGGATATTCATGGCACTGGAAATCTACGTTAAACTAACAGTACTTGTTGAACGAGGAACTTTCATATAGAGAGACAGGATTTTTCGGGCGAGTGAACATTGTGATATCTCTATTACGCTATTCGCGGGGAACTGTTCCCGGTATCGTGTTAAAAATCTGTCGTGAAAATGCACAGGTTGCACGTGGGCTAACGAATCGAAACGAGCTGAGCTGAGCTGAGCCGAGTCGAGCCGAGATTTTACTTGCATCTGGCATGCGACAGAAACGGAAATGCACTCACAATAACGTGAATCGCGAGAGGTCTCCGCATAAATAAGCGATAAATCTGTAACAAATGTCAGCGTCGAATTTCGTCGAGGATTCTACCGTTGAAGTCACGGCAATTGCTCTTCCGGCAATTTCGGCACATCCTGTACTGCATTGCTACGCGAATTCACGAATCGGTCATGAAACCGATGTTACGAAACCACTAGCAATTTGTATAATTACCGCAACAGTCGCAGTCGCGTGTGTGTTACCTCGCAAAAGTACTATTGTTCGCGGTTGAGGCTGCAATGAGGTTGTCATCTGTTGTAACGGTAGTTTCTATTAGCGACGTAGTGCCCGTAGCACAATTCAAACGCTAATGGTTATTTCGGATCAATATGGAATTATTTTCAAAATTCAGTCGCGCGACATACGAGCCGTAGTACACGTATTTAAGGATCGGGCTTTCAATTTTGGCGTTTCGTCGACAAAAATACCGGTTGTTCCGCTTGGCTATCGTACTGTTATTGGCTGTTTTTCGATTGTTAATCTCACTTTCATTGCGGAGACTATAAACGTTATTTCACTGTGATCACAATGTAAATTATTTCCCACGAAGATGCTTTCACTAAAATTGCCTTAGTCGCCGCACGTTGCGTCGCCCGCGTGATTGCTTCAGTCGGAACGCTTTGCGTCTGCATGTCTGAATGTCTGCGAGCGCGCTTTGTATGTCTCGCGAAAGTTCCTGGTTCAGCAGATACTGCGATTTCGCGGAAGTATGAGAATTAAGAGGCGATACATTCGCGGAATCTGTTAATTATAATACGCTCTGCGAATTTATTTGTGCGCTTGAGCATTACATTACGCGCGAGTAATACAAAGCGAAATTGGTGATTTCAATGCGTGTTTGCGGCAATGGACAAGGGATGAGGTCGACCGATTCGCCGAGATACGGAGCGATTAATTAGCATCCGGTAAAATCCATCAAGATTGATGCATATATATATATATATATATATATTGCTTACTGTGCCGGTATTATATTCTGCTTTGTCTTTGTCCCAGTTTCAATAGGATTTAATCAGCTTACAGAGTATGATACGTTTACACAGGATGCGTAATAATAGATAAGACAGTTTGTTCGTGATTGTTACATCCGAACGCCCGAAAATTGGAGCGCGCTATTGAACTTTTGTGTAAATTTATTATTGTATAATGTAGCACTCGATGCAAATTCCACCGATATCTACTCCGTCGTTATCTTTATACTTTTTAGCCATTCACCGGGATTTATTTAACATGTTTTCTAAATTATTCTAAACTGGTTTTCAAGTATAGTCTTGTAGAGATCATTATGTGATGTTGCAATGTATCGAATCGAATTCCTTTATGAACTGGGTTACTTTTTCAAATTTATCTCTACTCGGGAATAGAGAGTTTAAAAATAGACTACGTGGCCAAATAATCTATATATATATAGCAATAATTTTTAAATCAGTTTTGTTGACATTATAAACGTTTCAACAATCATACATAATTATGTTGCGAATAATACTTTAACCGAAATTATATGAAACTTCTCATCTTTCTCACGTGACGTATATTTGATTTCGTCATTTGCATTATTAGTGATAGTGTATATGCGTGTATGTGTGTGATCAGTGATTACTGTTTTGGCGGCGTCGCGGCGCAACATTCACCGTCACCAACGACGTTTCTCGTTTCTCGCAATGCGAATGTGCGCGACTCCTGAATATCGGTCAGACACTCGTAGTTGAATGTTATCGAAAGTGAGAGCCTCCACGAGAAGGATGGCGGTGAGACATTATGCGCATCAATACACGGTGCAGCTAACGGAGAAGAAAATCACCGACGGGAATGTCAGCAGCGAGAGCAGCGACGTAGACGACTACTACCCGCTGATCCATCATAGTGTGAGCGGCTCTACACTTGACAGGAATGCACGTAGGAGGGTGATGGAAGCCAACTGGGACGAGGTGGTAAGACGTTACGTTTGTCCTTATATCGGTTTTACAGACCGAGTAGAAAATGTTTAAAATAAGAATCGATCGATATTCGATCTCGCGTTACCTTTGATCAAGTGTCAAGATGTCATTATCGATATGTGTGTGGGTGTGTGTGTAGCGTTTGAAAAGCGACGTCTCGCGTTATTGAATGTATTGAACAGGCGTTGTAACCGATTGATACGATCATTTTGTATATACATTTAATAATCGACGTGCTGGCCTGGAGGTATCGAATATCTCACCGAGTGCATTAGAGTGGACACATTTTACTCACATTACGCCAATTTTATCTGTTATGCTTTCTCGTTTTCCATTTTTGGAAAATATTGTATCGATCTTTTTGCGCAAAGCGGTTTTACGGTTGCATCATGTGTAATTGGAAAGTAAGTTATTGCAAAGGGGAGTCATACGTTACAAGTTGAGGCTAATCATAAAAGAATTGTGAATGAGATGAAAACTCTTAGGTGATTTTTGAACAGCTGATACAATGTGTGCGCTGTGCACTTTTATAAAGTGTAAGATATTACACGAGAAATAAATGCTTATCTCGGGAAATGTGTTGTGCGTTGAGAGGTAATATTCGCGGAAATTGTACGGAGTTTGAATACTCGTACGATACGTAAATTCCTCATGCATAGCTTATTGCATCATGAGGAAGCAGATGATGCCGTTTGAAATCTGCTTAGGCGCTTACGTTCGCAGCCGGCTGATTAAAGCGAAGCATCAAAAGATTAACCTCGTTCGCGCATTATGCGTTATTAGGAGATTAAAAGATTGCGAGCGATTTGGAGAGACCTCATTAACACGTCGAATCATGCCGTGCGGAATCCGCCGCCGCACATATTTCATTAAAGTAAATGACGTGTATTTGCAGTCACAATGTATGTTCCGCGAGCGCATAAATTAGCATTCGCGCGATAATTTGTGCTGATACGCGCTTATCGCGCCATCGTCACGTTCTACAGACGCAATAACGTTTTTCTTGCTTATCTCGTGTGTAGATAAAAAGCATGACAAAGAAATTATATAAAAGCTGGAATCACTCTGTTTATCTCTCGATTCAACCTCTCTTGTTGAGAGGGAGATAATTGTTTCCTGCCTTTATTTTATTATTCGGAAACGAGATGGAATATAAGAGGATTTTACTGGCGCGAAACTTACTTTCTCCAACTGAGAACCAACGTCGCGAGCAAGAGTATTCAGATGTTCGACTAAATTTCGAACTAAACCGGAAGGAATACGCGAAGCGGATGCATCGCGGTGCTTCCGTTAATGAGAATGGATTATATATTTAGAATCGCAATTTAACGGCGTTATTTCGTACGTGTAAATTAATATCGTAATTAAACGAGAGAACAGAATCGGAAATGTTTCGAGTGAAGCAACTTTTTCTTTAAAAAGTTGCTTTCTCCCAGAACCGGAAGTCATTTGAATACGGTGATAACTTCATACCGATACGCGAATTACAGCTTCCTCTAGTCTTGCGACATCGGCGATATAAAGAGTAGGCTAGTGCAATGTGTAGTCTTTTGTTGGTCTTCGTCGCTGTTGGATGTGATTTTTGTTACAACGAAACTTGGTATAATTTTTTATCATTGGGACTGCGTAAGCGTTGTTTTCCTGTTTTTACTCTACATTTAATTATCTCAACTTACTGTACTGTATGGCGTTAGGGAATTCGCCTTAACAGGCGTTTAGAGCCAATATTGAGAGAGAAAAAAAGAAGCCGCAATGTATTTATTAGAACACGTAATCGTGATCAGATGAGTTTCTCGTGCCGACGCAATTGAGAATAGGAACAAGCAAGCGTTCGGTAATCGAACGACAAGCTAATAAGTGTAATAATAAAGAGGTGCAGATGCAAGGCAGTGACCGGCGAGAGAGCAGCGACAATGACAGTGGATTGTGGGTGGGTAATTTAGCATTATTTTCATTGCTCATTAATTCACTCGCTAATTCATCGCCGATCCGTCACTCGTTATTATTAACCTCAGCCTCATCTTTCGGTTAACGTTTCGCCCGCGTTCTCGACGCTTTAATTACGAAGAAGGTGCTCGGAGCGATGCAGCAGCCGGCTCGGAGAGAACGGCAGAATCGGCGGAGGATCGGTCGGTGAGTAATTTAGCCATTATTAATCTCAACTTCCGGTAATCCGCTTGCACCGTTCCCGCCTCTCTAATTACGACCTTGCTTCTTCGAGATTTCGTGCTAGCGTTAAAAATACACAAATGCGAACTGATATTGTCGGACGTGTGAGACATTGAAATTGTGCGCGGCACTTTAGTTTGCTATCCTCAATGACGTGTTGATGTTTCTCTCCCTGTTTTTCATCGCGAGTAATCTGTGTCGCATATGGCTATCTAAGCATAACATATCCTCTTTCGAAATCGTGTCTAACCTACATTGGACCTAAATCGGAAAAGGTCAATATACACATGCTGTTTCATATTCAGTCGCCCTCTCTGCACTTTCCTTCAACACTGCAACGTAAGTGTAGTGCAGATGAGACGAATAACTGTGCATGGATGGCGCTGAGTGTATGTATGAAAATTCGAATTAGCAGCGGCAACTTCACGCGTCGCGACGTTGTAACGTCTTACGACGCCATTACGACGGGGATGTTTCTCAAAGTAACGGGTAATCGTCGAGCATCGCGGGTATCAGTGTCCAGAGTCGCGATTAGCGGTGTTTGTTCGGTCGGTTCGTATTCGTGCGGTAAATGAACAATGAGTGAATATCGAGTGAGTGAGAAGTTCGTGGATAAATGTGACGACGACAGCAAAGTGCCCGGAGCATCGCAGCAGCCGGCGAGAGAACGGTATTGGCGGCGAATCGGTTGGTGAGCAGTTTATTCTCTCACTTCATTATCATTTTCATCATCATGACTTCATCGTCATTATCATTCATAACCACATAACCTCTAATTGTCCGCCCACTTCGGCTACCGCTCGACATTGATTACGATCTTGCTTTCCTAAAGTTTCGGCATTAACGTAGGATATACGTGTGCAAGATGGATGCTGTGTACTTGTGTGTGTGTGTGTGTATCGTGTGCGTGTGCGTGTGTGCATTAGAATATTGCCGAGTGTACGAAAAATTTCGCGCGCAACTTCGTGTCGGTGAGCGGATCGCAGGTTATGTGGTTATGTTAGGCGGTTTCGTCTTTTTCAAGTACTGCGTTACGATAAATCGTAGCTCGTATCGATTTAGTATTATTGAAATATACACGGAGGTGAGTTAAAAATCACATATATAATTAAATAAAAATGGATCTATCGCGTTTCCTTAAAAATAACATGAATTTTTTCATTCATATGGTTTCCCGTGTAGCAATATTTGGTTTGCTCCGGATATTTGCAATACGAACTAGAACCGAGATCGATTTAGGTATTTGGCATATTCCGATACACTCTCCCGTTTGTTATTTATATTTGGTCAATTTAAAGTCCGCCGGGGACACATCTGCGCGCAAATATCACGGTTGTGAGGGGTCATTGTAACTTGTTTGCATAATCATGTCATTGTACGAGTGGCACATGCCAGCCCAAATTGCCACGCGATACAGCTGACAAGAAAAACCGAAAATAATAGTCATCGATTTTACAACGAACACAATTCTTCCTTCGCGACCAAACGAACGGCCTACATTTTTTGGTGATTGCTCGTTAGTGCCCATGGCTTTAATAAATATGGGAAAGCGGGGAGATACTCTGTCTTGTTATCTTTGTGGACATTTAACATAAGAACGTTTGGAAAATTGCTCAACAAAATGTCCACCGGGTAAAGTATACCAGATGTTGCGTGTTCCATAAACGAGACGCAATTTTGCGAATTTGCATTAAAACTTCAAGGTGCAAGAATAGGTGAAGTTTAAGGACACGTGTCGCTCGTACATCCTTTTTATTTAGAGGCAAATATTATGGGCCGCTTTTGAAGACACGACGGGAGAGAGCCACGAAGTACTCTCGCGTTCAGTTTTGCAACTAACGTCCCAGAGTGAATGATTATTTACATATTACTGTTGCCTCTCTTGATTTTCCGGGCGCGGCACACAGAGATTTAAATTCTCACGTCGATCGTGAGATACAATCGATTTTCGCAGCATCGCTCGAGCAATCTGACACCGGCTTGCATCCTGACCGAATAAATTCTAACGGTCGTTATTTGCGCGACATCCGCATTCGGTCACGCGGACGCGCGGAATGCACGCAACAAAGAGGTTATAAATCAGAAACATCGCGTCGCGCGATCCGGTAACGTCGATCCAGCGCGCGATTAATTAATACAGAGTGTCGATCGAAATTTACATCGGACTCGGCTACGCGGTGGAATTACGACGCGCTGTAATAAAATAAAAACCAACGTCAAAGGTACTTAAAAAAAAAACGTAATATGAGAATAATACACTTGATAGTTCAATCTTTTCTGATACAGGATTACCAACAAAAAA